AGGCGTCTGCCGCGGCCAGCCCCGCGGCGAGGACCCCGGGCCGCTCGGGACGCGGGTTCGAGCCCCGCCGCCGCCGCCCCGCGCCAAGGGCTGTCACCGAGCCTCACGCCGGCCATAAGATCATCTATGTTTAATTGCCAAGGCCCCCTCCGTTCCCCGCCGCCGGTGGGGAAATCAAACCCTGCTACACAACCGGCAGTACGGGCTGGCATGGCCGCCCCCCATCCCTGCCCGCATCGCCCCCGGGGATGCGAGGTACGGGGTGGGGGGGTGGGGGAAACAGCCGCGGAGCAGAGGGGGGTTTTGGTGTCGCTGGAAAAGAGCACGATAAAGAGAGGGCTGGGACACCGGGGCATCCCCAGGCCCGGAGCTGGAGAAAGTGGAGAGTCTGAGTGTGAAAGAGCGAGTCTGCAGAGGAGAAGGCAGGAGGAGGTGGAAAAGGGAGAGTCCTGGGAGTCCCTGGCACTGCGGAATGGGGTCCGGCTGGAGGGGGGGGTCACAGAGCGGCGCCGCAGCCCCCCCGGGGCCGTTCTCCGGTGGGAGCCCAGGTCTCAGCTCAGCCGCTCCTCCAGCTCCTCCTTCTGCTGCTTGCGCTCCGCCAGCCACCGCTGGATTTTCTCCTTCAGCTCCGTGTTGGGTCGGATCTGGTCCATAGTGAGGGGGCTCCGGTTGAAAGGGTCCGTCTGGTCGCTGGAAGACAAAGCCCCGAGGGGATGAGGTGGGGGGTCCCGGTGCTGGAAGGAAAGTGGAGGGAGGGAGGCAGGGGGAGGCAGGGGTGAGCAAGACGCATCCCTGGAAGCGGGAGGTCGCACCTGAGGAGGTGCCGGGCTATCGTGGAGCGGTCAACGGTGACGCGGGAGGAGGGCAGGATCACCGGGTCCGACATCAGGGTGCTCATGATGGGATCCAGGAACTCGTCGCAGGCGTCCGCGTACGTCTCCTCCTCCTGCTGCTGCCGGTCTGCCAGGGACTGGGGGGCACGGGCTGCTTGTAGAGACCGGGGCTCCCCCTGCTCTCCATCTGGGGGGCTCCCCCTGCTCTCCAGCGGGGTGTGCTCCCAACTGGGAGCTGAAGCATCTACAGGCTTCCAGCTGCCCCCCGGAGCCCCCACTCCCAGGACTCCCACCCCCAGCAGAGATGCCATGGCACCCGGATGGAGAAGGAGCCCTGGAACCAGCTCCACCTCGTCCCAGGGGTTGAAACCCCCCCGGGGCTCTCACCTTGATCCTCTCGGCCAGGTTGCTGAAGGACACAATCATGTTGCCAGGCTTGTTGATCTTCTTCAGGACGCGGACGGTCTGGGCAAAGAGGGTGGGCGAGTAGGAGCGGCCATCCTTGGGCACCGTGGCGCAGAAGTTCTCCTCATCCCTGTGCCAGGGGTGGGGGCAGAGCAAAAGGTTAAGAATCCCCAGCCACAGGGCTCTGCTGGCCCCAACGTGTCCCCCCCGGGGGCTCTGCCCCGTCACCCACCCCAGGTTCAGGTAGATGGTGCAGATGTCAGACACCAGCTGCTGCGGCTTGAAGTCGAACTCACTGAAATCCTTCACTTTCAGAGCGCCCATTTTGGGGCCCACCAGGTGTTGGAGGAAGTAGTTGAGCATGGAGATGATGCGCTCGGCCAGGAAGGGGTGCACGAACAGCGACTTGATCTCTGCCGGAGAAACCAGCAGCTCCAGTGGCAGCCCCCTGGCCCCCCCAGTGCCCCCAGACCCTGCCGGAGCCACCCCCCGGCCCTACCCGAGGTGAGGAAGGCCAGCGTGCCGATGGTCTCGTTGGACATGATGTTGTGGAAGCGGGCCAGCTGCCCGAACATCTGCAGGCTGGACTCCTTCTCCCGCCGCGCCTCCGGGGACAGCCCGTCCCACTCCCCGCGGTCCCTCTCGATCTGCTGCACCTTGATCTTGCTGAGGTACTGCAGGGACAGCCTCGGGGAGCGCGGGGCACAGCCACGGCCACCCACACCCGCTCGGCCCCACGGAGCCCAATTTGGGGCACAAAAGGCCAAAAGCCACCTAGGAAAGGCCACTTGGACCCAGAACCACCCGTTTCCCTCAACACAGAGCATCCCTTTGGACCCAAACGCCCATGAACGCTCACAACCAGGCAGTACCTACAGGACCCACCTCATCTGCTGGACAAGCAGTACTATGGGGGGTGAAAGCTCCCCAAAAAAGCCCTTTCTGGCAGCTAAAGGCAGCTCTGAAAGGCGGGTACAGTCACCGGGCACCAGGGACAGGAGGGCGCTTGGCTCTCGCCCGGTGAACCCACAGAACTGCCTGTGGGGCAGAAGGCCCGTATTGGGGTAAAACACGGCTGGAAAGGCCAAAGGGACTCACTAAAGGGAACACCCGGAGGTCGTTTAGAGCCCGAGCGCTCCCTACCCCCACCCCTACCTGGATGGCCTCATCCAGCAGGAAAATGGCATCGTTCATCAGGAGGTTGAGGAAGCGCAGGAAGAGCGGGGGGTTCATGGCCTCCAGGTTCTCCGAGGCGTAGTCAGCCAGCGCCTGCGGGAGCTGGGGGGTCAGCACGGGGCTCGGCCGGGCACGGAGCCGCACACGCGGTTACACGCGTGCGCTGGGGGTTATGGGTGTCTGTACGTGACTCACCTTGATGCTGTGGCGGTAGGAGTCGGTGCCCCACATGTACCTGAGGATGGGGTACATGGGCCGGCGGTAGTTAAACTTCTGCTCGAACTGGTGGGGGTCACCTGGGGGTGGGGCAGAGCGAGGGTGTCTTAGGGGGCCACGGGGGGGTTAACCCCTCCTGACAGCGCGTCCCACACAGACCCTGCTCCCCGCAGCTGGAGAGACCCGGCGCTGAGCTCAGAGCTGACCCCTCTGGGACCGGTCACAGGTCCCACGGAGGGCGGGGGACAGCCCTAAGAAGCCGACGAGCCTCATCTCTGGCATTTCCTTTCCCAGACAGACCGCTCCACGATGTCTGCAGGGACGAGGCCGGGCTGGGATGGCCCAACGCAGCCCAGAGAAGTGCAAACGGGCCCCTGCTTCCACCAACAAACTCCACCCCCTGGAGATTTCCCCCTGGAGACGCCCCGGAGGGAAGAGACCCCGTTCCCGGCTGCGCTCACCGGTGAACTCGATGTCCACGAAGACCCTGATGAGGGCCTCGGCCAGCTGGGCGGCGTGGGGGTAGGAGCAGAAGACCCGCTTGCGGTGGAACACGCTGGAGACCAGGGGGTTCTGGGCCTGGTCTAAGTGAGGCATCACGGCCTCCAGCACCTCCGCCAGCTTGGCCCGCAGGTGGGGGTTCTTCATCCTGTGGGGGGCAGGGGAACCCGGGCTGGCAGCAGGGACCGGGTGGTGAGGACACACTCTGGGGGCTGCAGGAGCCAAAGCCCCCACTGACGGGCACGGCGCTGCTGGGAGAGAGCCCCGGCCCCGTCCGCCGCCGTGAGAAACCCCCATCTGCTCTGCCAACCCCCACCCCCGCTGTATTTACACACGCGTGTGTAAACAAACAGCAGGAGCCTCGCGGACGTGGCCGTGTCGGATCAGCAATAAACTCCTTGCTTTCCTCCTGTGCCCTGTTGCCACGGGGGGAGCTCAGAGACACCCCAAAACCACCCCTCCCCGGCGCCTCCTCCAGCACCCCCCGAGCAGCTCCCGCTGAGGAGACTCCACCTGGTGCCACCAAAGGGGCTCAGTCACCGAACCCCCCCGGCACTTGGACACCCACTGTGCCCCCCGGGCGGAATTCAGGGCTTCCCAAGGGACTGACCGCTCACTGCTGTCTGACCCCCACCCCAAACACCCCGACAACCCCCGTCTGTTCTCCCCATGATCCTGGGCCCCCCCAGGCCCCCCCGCACCTCTCCACGTCGCCCATGAAGACAGTGACGAAGTGCAGGACGTGCTGCAGGGAGTCGGCACAGCTCTCCAGGACATCGTCAGCGAAACGCCGCAGGAAAATGAAGAAGTCGCCCAGGTTATCGGCGAAGAACTCTGCGGCAGAGAGCGGGGTGAGCTCCTCTGGCCCTTCTCCAGCCCCCTGCCAGCTCTCCCACAGCACCCCGACCCCCACAGAGCTCCCAGGAGATGCATCCAAGCCCCAGACCCCCAGTCTGATGGCATTTGTGATGCACGGGGCCCACTGCTCCTCCCCGGGAGTCTGACCCCACGGGGCAGCACAGAAGGGCTCCAGGGAAGGGAATTCCCAGCCAACGGGAACAGTTTGGTGTGTGGGGAGAACAGTGAAGGGGTTTGGTGGGACCGTGCAGACCGGCGGGGAGCGGGATTGATGCCGTCAGAGAACATCCCCTCAAAGAGCCCCAGGTTTTGCAGCGACCCTCTCCACGGGGAAGACCCTATGCCCAGGATGGTGCCACCCATCGGAGCCCCACACAGAGAAGTGCTTCCTCCCACAGCTCTCTCTGGCTCCTCCCGAGGGACCAGCAGCAGCCCCTCAGGGAACTGGGGCTCCCAGCAGTCCCAAGGTAGGGACTGACCAGGGGAACCCCCGGGACCCTCCTTTCCTCAGGGAAGGGGACACCTGGGTGCCAGAGCCCCGTGAGGAGCTGGGTGAGGAGGTGGGACTGCTCCCACCGCAGCGTCACGGAGCAGCTCGGGGGACAGGGACAGACAGACAGACGAGCTCACCGGGCACGTAGGCCAAGGCGCTGTTTTCCACCTGGGGCAGTGGGAAAGTGAGCTCCAGGGGCTCGGTGCCCCGGTTGCCCATGGCCAGCTGGACCAGCAGCACCGCCATGGAGACCTGCAGGTTCAGGCAGTGCTGCAGCATCTGGGGCTCTGTCATGGCCGTCTTGGTGGAGAGATAGATGGTCATCAGGCGCTCGAACTGCTCCCGCAGGCCCTCGGCCGCCGGGCTGGAGCTCTGCTGGGCCTCGCGCCACGCCACTTGCAGGCGATGGAGGCTTTGGTTTATCTTCACCATCTGGTCGTGCAGCCTGGCCGGGAGAGGAGGAGGAGGAGATGTGAGAGGTTTGTGCCTTCTCACTGAGCGCCTCAGCACCGAGCTTCTACCCTGCGGCGAGAGACAGCTCTGCCCAGCAAGTCCCAGCCCTTCCCTGTGGGTACTGGCCCGAAGAACAGCATCCGGGAGCCCTTTAGAGACAGGGCTGGGGGCTTGGGCAAACACCAGAGCATGCCCAGGAGCCACAGCCACCCGGAGCGGCCCCACCAACCGGTGACCACAGCAAAGTCCTCGGCAGGGGCACCGACAAGGAGCCGGTGCAGCCATGAGCTCCCTGGGGCTACCGAGGTGAGGGATGTGGCCGGTGTGAGACAGCCAACGGGTGGCACCTCCAGTCTCCCAGCAACCGGTCTCCCCATCTCTATCTTTAGAGAGCGGAGCGGGAGGGGACACGTGGGTCAGTGCTGACCTCACAGTCTCCAGGCAACCATTTCCTGAGAAAAAAATGGGTGTTCTGGTGCCCAAACAGCCACCCACCGCCCTGCTGCGGGCAGAACCCCTGGGTGGGGGCGGCACAGGAACCCCCAGCAGCAGCTCTGCCCCCCAGGAGAGACGTGAGACACCAGAGGCTGGATCCCCGAGGGAATGGGCCCCACGGACACCCGGCCCTTACGTGTCTATAAACAAGGTGGTGCCTGGGGGCTGCAAGGGGTGACTGTGAGCTCTAGGGGACAAGGCTTCCATCCAGAGCAGTTGGCCCGAGGCTCAGACATCAGTGAGAATGTGGAGAAACCCCCCACTCCGAGTTCTGGGCGTTTGCTGAGTGTTCCTGTGGCCGTGCGTGGGTGGCACACAGCACCGGGAGCTCTCTTTGTCATTTATCTCATTATTTATCTCGTTACTGACCCCACACGCTCTCAGCCAGACACGGGGAGCAGCCGGTACCTGTGGAACCCCAGGTGCAGGGTGTACTGGGTGAGGACCAGGTTCTCCGTCACCAGGTTGTAGCTGTTGGCAAACTCCGGCTCCTGCTCGCTGACGGCAGGGATCAAACACGTCTCCTTCTCCAAACCTGGAGGAGGAGCAGCTCTGTGACACATCAGCCCCCACCCCGAAGGGGAGGGTTCTGGAGGGACCCCCTGGAGACAACGCAACACCCACTGGTGACACCAGTGTTTTGTTTGTTTCCAGCTTCCCTTTGCTCCTCTCCAGCCATACTGGCAGACACTGAGGGGGCACCACAGGAGGTGTGAGGACCCCGGGAGACCCCTTTCCAGCACCCCCCAGGGCCAGACGCACCTTTCATGTGCACATTCTTGCTCCTCCTCTCCTCCTCGTTGAGCTCCTTGAGGGCGCAGTAGGTGGGGTTGAAGGTGAGAAGCCGGGGGGAGCCGGGTTTGCAGAAGGGCTGGCAGAGCCGCAGCAGCGCAGCCCCCAGCCCCAGGAACAGGGCGTCAGAGGCGAACATCTGGAAGAAAATCTCGGGCATCTGGTTGGCCCAGATCTTGGTGCGGCCGGCGTTGGCGTGGAGGCAGTTCCCCAGCCAGGAGAGCAGCCGGTGCTTGGTCTCGGGAGACAACTGCAGCAGGTTCTTCAGCAGCTGGTAGATCTTCTCGTGGAACTGGGCCATGAACTGGCGTGGGAGAGAGGAGTCACCAGTGGGATCGTTCCTTTGCCTCTCCCACCCAACACATCACTCAGGACGCCTCCACCACCCCCTGCCCCAAGCCCCAGGCTGGCAGCAGAAAACCCTCATGGACACACTCAGAGCACACTCAAGCTGTTCCTGTGGGAGTAAACCCAAAATCCACATTTTTGGCAGCAACAGTAACCCCGAAAGGACTGGGGGAGCCCCCTCTGTGCCCGGTTCCACCCCCGAGTTCTCTCCGTGTTCACTCCCTACCTCTCTCCTCGCCCACAGAAACCCCTCGGCTGGGGCAGGGAGAGAGAACCTCCCCTGTCACTTTCTGCTGGGGGGCCAATTAGCCCCTTAATTACAGGGCAAGGATTGACAAGGATTTCTCAGCAGCTACAGCACTGAGGGGGGGATTTCCCTCCCCTCACACCCCAGGTTCCACCTGCCCAGGGACTGGGGTGACAACCTCCCCCCCATCACAGTCAGAGAATCCGCCGCGGCCGGAGCCTCCCGAGGCACCACCCACACTGTTAAAGACCCAGTGGCCCAAGCCCCCAAATCCCAGCACTGAGCCGGGGGGAGCGGGACCCCCACGCTGCAGCCCACCTGGTGGATGTTGGATTCCTGCACCTTGATCTCCTGGGGGCTGGACCGGGCCGGGTTCAGGAAGTAGCCGTGGTTCTCCACCACCCCGGGGGTCTTCAGCAAGCAGGAGATGTTGAGCACGGCGCCCAGCAGGGTCTTCTGGTACATCTGCCCGTTGCTGGGGTCCTTGGGCTGGATGTACCCGGCAAAAACCTACAGGACACAGCAGGACATGGGGGTGGCTCCTAGAAAAACCCACACCTGAGGGGTTTGGGATGGGGAAGAGCACCCACGGGGGGTGTTGCTGAGCTCCTAGCTCTGGCCATGGCAGATGAGACCCCATGAACGTCCCCTGTGAGGGGCTGCGGGGCAGGGGGGCACCCACCTTGGCCGTGTCCTTCTGCCGGGTGAAGTAGAGCAGCACGTCGAGGTAGGAGTAGAGCAGCATCTGGCAGAGCTCCAGGTCCTTCACTCGGCTCAGCAGGATGTCGAACACGGGGACCATCACCTCCCCGAAGGTCCGCACCTCCTCGTCCCCCGTCAGGGCCTCTATCACCTCCTCCAGGAACTCCGTCACCTCCTCGAAGTCTAAGGCAGGGAGCGAGGCCGTTACCGACACTGCTCACTGCGGCCCTCGCTTGCGGCAACGAGCCACAACGTTCTCCCCACAAGTCGTAACGCAGCACGATGGCGGTGGGGTGGCCCCCCCGGCACTTACGCCCCCCTCTCAGCCCCTCCAGCATCAGCTCCACCAGCTGCTCATAGACATTCTGGTCGACGTAGATCTCGGGGGTGAGGAGGACGGTGCGGGCGTTGGACACGGTCAGGTTGCGGCAGCGCACGGCGAAGGGCAGCAGGTTCTCGGGCACCTTGGTGATCTGCACGAGGAGAGGGAGACGGAGCTAGGCTACCTCTGGCCCCCCAAAACCCTCGTCTTGGTACAGATATGGGGGCGACGAAGCCCGTGCCCTCCCCCAAAGGTGCTCCCACCTCTTCCCTGGCCCTCTGGAAGCAGGCGTAGAGGTAGCGCAGGATCTGCCTCTCCCCGGCGTCCCGGTCGGCCGAGAGGTTCTGGGTGCCGCTGGGCGTCATGTGGATGAGGTGGTTGCCCGGCTCCGGCAGCAGCAGCCGGGTGAAGAGGGCCTGGGGCAGGGACAGAGGGACACAGCCCCGCGGAGGGACGGGCCCCCCGGGGAAAGCAGCCCCAGGTCACCACGGGCTGAATGGCTTCTGCTGGGGAGGGCTCTCCACGTTCCCCCTGGGGTGAACAACTTCTGTGCCCTCCGAGCAGCACAGCAGCCCCAACGGAGTCACCGTCACCGGGGAACCCGGAGTGACGGGGTCCCGGGAACCGGCAGCCACTGGTGCGAGTGTGTGGGAGCACCCATCGCTTTGCTCAGTGGGGCAGGAGATGGCTCCCTGCCCCCCACCAGCAGCGCCCACCCCCCAACACTCCATCTGGGACACGTTCGTTCCCTCCCCAGCCCAAGCCCCGGCAAGAGCCGGGGCTCTGGGCAGCACCTTCTGCCCCTTTCCCACCCCAACCCCCCGGGCTGTTTCCAGCGACCACAGCCCCCGGCTCAGGGGAACAGAGCGTGACCCCGACGCTCTGTGGGGAATAAGCCCCGTCCCTGTCCCCAGGGCCACCACCCGCACCTGCTCCACGTTGTCCATGTCCAGCCAGTCCTGCTCCTCCAGCTCAGCAGCCAGCTCCTCCAGGTAGACGCAGCGTGCCGGGATCCCGTTCCCGCTCTTCATGCTGGGGTCGCCTGGGAACGGCCCAGTTTTACCCAAACCCACAGGGAACGCGCCGGTGGGACCGGTGGCCAGCGCTGCCTCCCCCCTCCCACCTCAGGGGGGGCTGGGGTCCCTTTGGGGGCATCCCTGGGGCAGTTTGGGGGGGTCCTGGGCAATTCCTGGGTCCCATTCTCATTTGTGAGGGAAGGTGGTTGATTTGGGGAAGGGCTGCTGCCGACAGCGGTGGCTCAACGTGGCGGGGGCCGTCACCAGGAACTTTCTGGCCCTTCCCAGTGCCTCGGGGCTGTCCCTTCCCTGTCAGCACCGAGAGCCGGGGAGGAGCAGCTCTGGAACCACAGGGGCCCTTGGGCAGCCCCAGGGGGCTCCTCCAAAGCTTTGAGTGGCCCCTGACGGCAGGGAGGGGATGTCCTGACACCCGTTACTGGTCTCGGGAGCTGCCCCTGAGCCAGGGACCCCCCAACAGCCCCGGGGACGCCCTGACAGCCCGAGCCGGGCGGGAGGAAGCGCCTCCCCCCGCCGGGCCGGGCTCTCAAAGCCGTATTTGCCCGTTCCCCCCGCCGCCCCCCGCCCCCGGTGTGTCCCCCCGCTCACTGTTGTCGAGGGTGATGAGGAAGATGCGCTGGATCATGTGGTTGGTGTTGAGGCGCTGGCAGAGCTCCCGCTGGGAGCGGAAGGCGCGGCTGATCTCCGCCGCCGAGTACTCGCTCTCCTCCAGGCTCTCCGACACGCTGTTGTCCGAGTCATCCTGCCCCACCGACGGCTCCTCGACTGCGGCGGCCACGGGAGTTCAGCATCGGAGCCGCGGGG